TTTGTGAATACTTTATAAGTCATGTAATGCTAGCTTCCTGCTGCACATTCAGGTGGCCCCCAAGGTTCGCCATTACTGACCACATGCGGTAAACACCTTCACCCTACAGAACATGGGCATTTTTCACATGATAGCGATACTTGTTGGTAAGGGTGCAGATAAATGGACAATCTGATGTGCTGCTCGTGGGAATATAAATAAGAACAGTAATGAATTTATAAGTTTTTTCCCCTCATTGTTTTTGTCATTACCAGTTGATTCTTGAACAATGTGGGTTTGAACTGTGTGGGTCCATTTACACGCCGGTTTTTTTCAATTGACCCACACGTTTCGGACCTGCATTTTTCAGGGTCAGCTGGCAGCTGGGAACCTGACTGTGCAGAGGCTGACTTAAGTTATATGTGGATTATTGACTGCACGGACAGTTGGCACCCCTAACTGTCCCACTGTACGTTCGGGAAGGCAACTTGGAAATGTGTAAAAGCAATGTTTTAAAATTATTTCATCCTTCCATTTAGCCCAGCAATTCTAGGAATAAACTCTAAGGATTTACATAAAGACCTAGTAGTGTCTGAATGGTGTGAAATTGGAAAGTACCTCCATGTTCTTTTCTAGGGGACAGATCAAATCATGGTACAATGACGTGTTCCAAAGAGTAGGCTATAAAATACAATGTATAGTATGAGCCCCACATAATTTTCCAAATGTATATGGCTCTTTATATGTATGGTTCTCCTCTCTCTCTAGGCTATATAACTAACCACCAGGGGGTTAGCCACCATCTCTGTGGCCTTAACTTCTGATCTCCTACCTTTCCTCCCCATGTCATACCCCATCTCTCTTTGACCTACTCTGCCTTTCCCCTTGAAGGGCTCACAAGCATCTCAGAGTTAATACGGTCAAACAGAACTCTGTCGGAACGCAGTCCCTGATACCACCCAGCCCTGTGGCTGCCACCTCATGCCCAAGCTCAGTGCCCCTCCTCTCAGGAAACCACACTTCTGTCCACCTACTTTCTCATCTCAGGAAGCTCTCTTCCCCATCAATCAAACACCGGGTCCTGTTGATGCACCCTCCAAACTACATCTTTGTCAAGACATTGGTGTTGGAGACCGAGCTGTGTCTCCCTGCAGATGCACCCGGACTCACTGCCCTCCTGCCCTTGTCCCCACAGGCCTGAAGAACAATGCGACAGGCATGATGGAGGTCGAGTCCTCCTACTCGGACTTCATCTCCTGTGACCGGACAGGGCGTCGGAATGCAGTCCCTGACATCCAAGGAGACTCGGAGGCCGTGAGCGTGAGGAAGCTGGCTGGAGACATGGGCGAGCTGGCACTGGAGGGGGCAGGTCAGAACCCTCCAGCACTTTTGCACGTCTCCCTGTTTCTGCTGCTAGACAGCCGCCACCCAGCCCTGTGGCTGCCACCTCATGCCCAAGCTCAGATACCAGGTGCTCAAAGGGGCTTTCTCTGACAGCTCTCATTGGCCCTCCCTGGTCACATGACTCCTCAGCACTCTGACGAGGTCTCCTGGGTTTAAATATGAGCTCCAGGAGAGCAAGGGCCTCTGTTCCGCTGGCAAGAGCAGGTGTTTGGCAACCACAGGCTGAGTGAATAAGTGGAGGAAACCGCATCTGCTATCCCCTCTGTGATGCTCCTCCCCACCATCTCCCTCCCTTCTTCCCCTCCTCCTTCCCCTATGAGTACAGAACAGAGAAGACTTTGTGGGGGCATGGACCAACCCTGCCATGTTATTTAATCTGGACAAATATGTGCAGAGAAGTGGGTAGCTTGCTCAGGGTCACCAGCAAGTTCACAGAATGAGAACCTGGTTTCTTTCCCCCAGCACCCACACCCCTTCTCTGTTCTGTCAGCCCCCCCTTATGTGGCCCTCACTCCCTACCCAGGCACGAGCTCCACCCATCACCCTGCTCGCCTCAGCTCATCCTTCTCCCTTGGTGCTTCTGGTCCAGCCAGAGGAACGTACTCTGTTTCTTAAAAGCCCCTTATGGGCTGAACACCAGGCTTCCCCTGTCCAGTCCTCCCTGCCTTCCCCTGCCCTGGCTTTTCTCCTCTTTCTCAGAAACCCAGCTGCCCTGACCGCACCCCCTCTGAGGCCGGGGAAGGCACATCCTCTCTCTGCCTCTAATCGCGCGCAGCACAGTGCCCCTTCTCCAGGCTGTGAGCTCCTCCCACACAAGATCTTTGTCTTGTGCCCTCGGTGCCTGGCAGCATTTGGAACATGGTAGAGGTGCCTAGTCAATGGCTGTTCACTGTCCAGCTATTGACCAGCTGCCGCCTGGGCATGCTGCCAGGGCTTCTGTATCCTCAGCTCTGGTGAGCTGTTTCAGTCTCCTTCTACCTCTGCAGTTGCAGCCACTCGTCATGGGCCCAGGCCCTTCTACAACCTGTTTCCCCATCCAATCCAAACTCTCTGAAGTGTCTCCCAGCGGGTGCCTTTTCCTTCCAGGGTGACTGGCATTAAAAAGGACCTGAGAGAGGAACAGTGCTCACTTCAAGGAAGTGAAGCACTCAGGGTGGAGTGCAGGCCAGACTGGCCGAGGAGCCCTGCTTGGAGCAGGTTCCGCAGGCAGGCCCTCCGTGCTGTCCAGCACTTACCGAGGGAGCAGCAATCCAGAGAATCTGATCCCGCTGCTCAGATGTTTGCTTAAAGCTTCCAGGAGATTGATGCACAGCAGGCTGTGTGCAGACCTGTCTTCCCTGGTATTTCCTTACGTGAGGAGCACAAACCTTTCCTTCCTTGGCCTTACAATGAGAAACAACAGACAAGGCCTGAGGAAACGAGTACACTGCCTGGCCGTGGGTAACGGTGACGCCTCTTCAAATGGTGCTCTGAGACGGGCCCCAGAAGTCCCGAGGGTGCTGGTTGGAGCGGAACGTGCCAGGAGAGCCGGGACTGGCACAGAGGAAGCATTGCCATTGGCTGAGACATTCCCCTGTGTCAAATGGTCACGTGCAGGCCCAGCACTCCCCTTCATGACAGGGAGAGGTGTCATCATCCTCACTTTATGATCAGGAAGCAGAGGCCCAGAGGTTAAATGTTGTTCATGATTCCACAGCAAGGAAATGGCAGAGCAGAGATTACTATGGAATCTAACAAGATGCTTTCTACCTGCTGGGGCAGGAGGCTCAGGGCCAAATAAGGCATCGCAAGCTGGGAAATTTGCCCAAAGTGCCATCTAAATTGTCAGGCCTCTGGAGAGGGCAGAAGGGCCCTCCGGGACCAAGCCTTTGCCATGAGCACCACCAGGATAGGAGGTAGCCTGGCAGAGAGACAGATGTCCACATTCTGCCTGCACCACTTGCTCCTACTAACACCTGCTTCCCAAGACTCCTGCAAGGGCACAGTGAGGCAGTGTCGATGGTGACAGGCCTTTACAAACCCCAGCGATGCTGTTGGCAGGAGGTGAATTTCCTGGAAGGGACACTGGCTCCCTCCATCACTGATCTCAGGCAAATCAGTTCACCTCTCTGAGCCTGTTTCTCACCGGTATCAAGCCCCGAATCATACCCCAGGCTGCTGGGTGGGTTGCATGGAGCTTGGCACAGGGTGGTGGTTCTGTCATGGGAAAGGCTTAGCCTGAGGATGCAAAGACAGAGGCCAGAGAGGGAGGTTCGGCTGGTCTGGTGAGGACACCGCAGAATGGAACAGTCATAGGCTCCACCCCTAACCCTGATGCAGGCCATACCCTGGTACTCTCCTGAGCTGGCCTAGTCTGATGCCTTTTCCTCAGGCCCTTTTCTGTCTTCTAAGAACTACCATTCGCTGAGCACCTGTTACTTGCTGGGACCTCCCATTTGCCCTCTCCTCCTAGAGAACCTGCACAGCCCTTGACCCTCAGCAGCCCTTCGCCTGTTGCTTTTAGCATCCATCCATGATCCTGGCCTTTGATTGATTTAATGATGCTAGTAATGTCACAGGCATTTTCTTTGTAAGCACTGAAATGTTAGAGACAAGGCTCCCGTTCCCTTTGGCTGCCACCACCTCTCAGCCAGCTCCTGTCCGGCACCCAGGGCTCACCCACTGTTACCGTTTTGGCCGGGTCCTCCCCTGTCACCCGTGCTTTACGTTTGTGTATATGTTCCTCTTCCTCTTCTCTCCAGAAGGACAGGCGGAGGCAGGTGCCCCAGACAAGGAGGCTAGCAACCAGCCTGAGAGCAGTGACGGGACCACCTCATCTTGAGTCTGACCTTGTCCAAGGAGGCTGGAAGAGAGACCTGCTGTCCCCACCTGGGCAGGGAGTCCTGGCGCTGGCCCGGCAGCCTCTTCTGAGCCCCGTGTTCCAGGCAAGCAAGGTCAGACCGAGGCGCCCCAGAGGCCCTCCCCCTGGGCAGGCCCTCTGCCCACACCCACAGGCTCCACGCTACCACCGCCTCACCGTGCCCAGGTACACTTTTAAGACACTCTGACCACAGGATGTTACTTTTCATGGGGCACTGAGACTCGGACTGGGTCCTGCTCACCTGGGTGAGCAGCCCACCCAAGGCAGCTCCTCTCCTAGGCGACCTGGGCAGCGACCATGTCCCAGTTCTGCCCCTTCTCCAAAACCAACCGTCCAGGTCAAGACCTTCTGATCTGATCCCTTTTTAAAAAACACTTTAAAAAAATTGTAAACCTTTTTCAGCAGAGAGGGAAGGAGCTGACAATCAATCCACTTTTTTGTGAAAGCCGTTTTAATCCAAATTCCACGCGTCTGCGGTTCCCTCCTGGAGCTTTACAGATCCAGTTTTAGGGAAGGGATTTCTGTGCTCTGATCAACTCTGTCCTTCCTTTCTACCAAGATGAACAACGCCTGGGACCCAGGAAATAAATGCTGGTGATTTGTGTGGCTGGTTTACGATGATTATTTCTCCGTTAAACAGCACAAGCAGGAGCTAGGCCCGTCCACATTGGCTGCGATCCGTTGCTGCCCCAGCTCCCACAGAAAGAAAACACTGAGCAGATGCTGGTGGCCGAGGAATCTTCTTCCCTCGCCCTCTCTCACCCGTCCAGCTTCAGGAGCTCAAAGGGAAGGTTTTCCCTTAAAACCTAGAACAGGAGGGACTGAGAGTTCAGGGAGCCTGTAAGCAGACAACTCCTCGAGAGAAGCCTGGCTGCTTCGGGAGGGCAGGTGTGGGCCCCTCCCCCCAGCATGGGAGCTCTGGCTTCCCAGTCACAGTCCCCGCTGGGCTCTTGGGCCCTGCCACTGGGCAGGCTGCCCTAGACGCTCCTTTCTCTCTCACCCCACCCAGTCGTCCTGCCCAAGACCATGCATCACGTGCTGCACAACTCCAGCCGTTGGCTTCTTTTATTGAGCACCAGCTTTTCAGCATAAATCACCAGAGGAGGGAGTTGACCATGCCACGCTGTGTGTGGGTACAGCAGGGGCACACAGGCTTCCGGTAGCATCAGTAGCTGACTATGGAAATCATGGTCTTCCCAGGGAAGTAAAGGTGGGTGTTGCTCGACCCCCCAGAGCTATGAAATCTCCATCCACAGGGTGCGGCTCGGAGCAGTGGCAGTGATGCCTTCATGGTTGCTGCCCTGCTGGCCGGGTCAGAGAAGCAGAAAGATTAGGCAAATCCCAGTACCCAGGGCATAAAGAATCACAGAGCATTAGAGCCAGAAAACGCCTTGCCAAGGCCACACAGGAAGGAGCAGAACAGAGCTAAGACCTTCAGAAAGTCTCCCCCTCCGGCCAGCCTCAGGACAGCATTACACAGAACGTAGGCCGGGTGGTGAAAGGCTGCCCCAGCCAGGACCTGTGCCCAGGCGCCATTACAAGTCCTTGGTGCTACCCAAGAGAGGATGTCTCGCCGGGGCCCCACAGAAAGCTAAACGAGCCAGGCAGGTCCGTGGCCCAGAAGCGCAGACAGGAGCATACCTGCAGGGGCCGCAGGTGGCATCCCGTAGGCTTTATAGAGCAGGTCCAGTAGCTCCCTCTTTTCATCTTCTGGGAGGAAACTGGACTTTGCCGCATTGATATTCTGGAAGAGTCCGAATGGCAGACAGCATGAACCAGCGAGTGTGGAAGGGATCCCGTGGTAATCTAGTGATAGTCCACGCTCTTCACTGAATGAGGGCGGTTGATTAAGCTCGGAGAGGAAGGGACTTGTCCCAGGGCAGGTCAGTCACTGCCAGAGCAGAAACCGTGCGGCTCTGTGATCTCAAAGTGGCACTCCAGCCCAGCCAACGTGGCTCAGTGGTTGAGCATCAACCTATGAACCAGGAGGTCATGGTTCGATTCCTTGTCAGGGCACATGCCTAGGTTGTAGGCTCAATCCCCAGTGTGGGACATGCAGGAGGCAACCAATTAATGATTCTCTCATATCACTGATGTTTCTCTCCCTCTCCTTCTCTAAAATCAATAAAAATATATTTAAAAAAAAATTTTTAAGTGGCACTCCATGATACAGTAATGTGAGAACAAAGTTGGAGAAACTTTGAGAGGCAGGGTGGGATGTAGGGGACCAAAGAGATAGTCATGCAGAGACAGGTTTGGGAAATTGTACCATCTAAAATCAAGAGCTTAACCCTGGGATCTATGAACGGCTTGAAAGTGCAGAATTTTATAGCTGACCACACATTTTTTGGGAGAGGGTAGATGGCTTTCATCAGAGTCTTCGAGGGCAAGCAAAGAATAAAACACCTGGTCCCAGGTCAATACGGTGGAAGGCATCTAACTCTAGGTCTGGCTTGGCTTGGCCTATTGAGGTAAACCCACTCCTCATCCTCAGAGGTTCCAGGCCCTGCAGGCCTCACAGTCCCGGGGCCCAGAGTCAAGGCCGACCGGGCCCACACCCACTCACCAGTCTCTTAAACTCCTCTTCGGTAAAGCCCATCTTCTGTTTGGTCAGCTGGTAATCGGTGTCCAGGGTAGACTTGAAGATGAGCGGGTCATCCGTGTTTAGCGAGTAGTTAGCCTGGTCCCTTTTGAATCTAGATGTGGGGGAAGAGCCTCCCTTTACTCTCTTGTGAACAGTCACTGCATATCGACCCGACACCCTCCTCGAGCCTCACATCATCGTTACACACACCTGGAAGATCTCAGGCAGAGGAAGAAACCAATTCAGAGAACGTGGGTGATTTGTGCAAGGCCACATAACTAGGAACTCAAGACAAGCCATCTGATCAAGCCAGAGCCAGGCAACGGCAGAAGAGGGGGCCAGCTAGAATGGTGGGTTGGGGAGACACACAGCACCCCCCTCCAGCTACCACCCTTCACAGCCAACGTTCTGGGAGAGCTGTCAGTGCCCTAGCCCTAGCCTAACCCTATGTGTCCTCAATCCTCCTGGGCTCTGCTTCTCAAGGAACTTCATGGCACGGTCCCTGCCCACAGTCTCCTTAAGTCTAGTGGACTTTCAGCTCTTACTGCACCTGACTTGTGCAGAATTCTACACTGTTGACTGTTCATGGAACCTTTTCCCTCGAGTTCTCAGACACCACACGTTGGCTTTCCTCCCACCTGTCCCATAACTGTCACTTCATCCTGGGTTCTCTCTCAGGCCCTCTTCCTCCTCATCTCCGTAGGCCATCACTTCTCCCTTCCACGCCCCCCCCCCCCCCCCGGTCTGGGTAGATGGCTCTTGAATTTTTCCCATGTGCCTCCAAGAACCTCCCCGGATGAGCCACAGGAAGTGCACACTCCTCTTCCCCAAAGCTGAGCTCAGCACCCCCTTTAATCAACATCGGGGCCCATACTCCTTCCCTTCACAAAAGCTTGGCAGACAGACCGGTGCTGGCCTGACCGTGATCACCCCGAGTTCTTGCCGTCCTCATCTGGGTCAGGGCAGGTGGCTTTGCCCTCCCAAGGCCTGATGCCACCCCCAGGGCTTAGTCAAAGGACAGCCTGAAGACGGGCCACGGCTGTGGGGTGGACTGTGGGGTGGGAGCAGTGTAGGATGGGACAGGCCTCGGGGAAGCTTCAGGATGGTGCTTGTGGGGATGCCCAGAGGAGCCAAGAGAGCCCACGTGAGCAGGAGGCACTCATCCTCCCGACCCTCGGAGGCAGGGTCTCGAGTGCCAGTTTCTCATGGGGCAGCAGGACATCTGGTATAGCTCAGTGCTGCAGGGCCCCAGCCCTGCTAGGTAGTCAGGTTACAGCACATCGAGCTTTGGAGTCCTCGTTTGTAAGACTAGGATGGTAAACCTGCTTCCCAAGGATTCAGACAGATTTTGTAGCAGGAGACCCAGCACAGCCAGTGCCCAGTCCCTGCATTTCTGCCACCCTGAGCTCTCCTGGTGCAAGACTGAACCGGGCCCAGGGGAGCGAGCCTCACCGAACGACTGGATGCTCCGTGTCCGGGTTCCAGGAGCCCGTGAGGTAGTTGGACCAGGGGCAGACCTGGAGGAGCAAGCAGGCGTGCGGCTGGCATAGACATCCCGGGCCGCTTGGCCCACGCCCCCACGCCCCCACGCCCCCCCGCCCAGGGCCTGGAGCCACCTATTCCGGCCATGGTCACACTGGCCTCCCTGTTGCCGACTTCCATGAGCTGTCGGTCCCAGTCTTCCTACACCACCTGGCAGCTTGAGTGCCCACTCCTTTGGCTCCCAGGCCCCTCCTAGCTCCCCACCTCTGCACCCCCCAACCCCCAGGCACCTCAAAGTGCATGTTGTTCTCTAGCAGCCTTTTGTAAAGGGCCTCATCGTCCACGGTGTGGTAGCCATGGCCAACCCTCTCTGTCTTGAGATTGTCCACAGCCTGCAGGGAAGCAGATGGGAGTCCAGTGAGGGGAGGCGGGCATAGGGGGAGGGCCCGCAGCCGCCAGTTGCCTCACCTCTTTCACCCTCTCTGCAGTGCCAGCCTCCCCGGCGTGGACGGTGCGGTGGATGCCGTTCCTCACAGCCTCCTGGAAGGACAGGAGCCAGGTCATAGGTGCCTCGGGGAGGGCCCCGGGGAAGCCCCCCGCAGGCTCAGGAAAGTAAGGAACACGACCAAGGTCAGACAGCTGGGACGTGGGAAGCCAGGCTCTGAACCCGGGCAGTGATGGTCCTGAGCCCCACTCGCAACCCGGCACCTCACTCCTTCCACAGGAGGCTGAGCCGTCTGCCCCACACAGGCCCAGCGAAGAGACCGTCTCGCCCAAGGTCACAGCAAATCACAGGCAGAAAGACGCCCAACAGCAAGTGGGGTCTTTTCTTTACACCAAATTCACACCCCAGAGCCCCCAGGCCCAACTAAGACGCTTGGGAACCCAGGAGACCTCGCGCTGCGCAGTCCGTGTGAGTCCGTGTGACATCTCCCTCCTGTGGGCAGAGCCCAGCTGCTTCTCCCAGAGCCTCCGGGCCAGTCTCCCCCTTCCTCCCCCGGGACCCACCTCGTAGGCCTGCACATGTCCAGGGAAGAGGCTGCTGTCTGCGATGGTCTCATCCCCAGCCAGATCGATGCCCACCACGGTCTGATGCTGGTACTTCTTACACAGCGCCACCACCTCGGCGGACCAGCCTGTGGGCGAGATGTCCCCCGGCCTCTGTCACAGCCGCCACCAGGGAGCGATCCTTCCAGAACGCCTGCTTGCTCCCCATCCCACTCACCCTCCACCCGAGGCCAGCACATGACAGAGGGCCCGGGGTCCCGTCTTCAGATCCTGACGGCCACAGCTAACCACATGGCCTCAGCAAACGGCTCCACCCTGTGCCTCCGTCTCCTCTCAGAGGGACAGCACCAGCGATGGCGCAGGGTCTCGGCTGCAAGGCGGTGCCGAGATGCTGTGTGTGGCACTGAGGGCAGGGCCGGGGCTCAGTACACGACCCATGGCCGTTCTCTCTGTCCCCACAACAGCCCTCAAGGTGGGCTCATCCCCACTTGGACCAGGAGAGGGAGTCCACACAGTTTAAATCTAACACATGACCCACTGGCATTACTAACCATATTGCTAAGGAGCTGTGGACTCTGAACCGGCAAACTCATCATTAAGCGTTTTAAAATGAATGAAAAATCACAGGCTTTGGAACCAGGTGGCCCTGGGTCCAAATGAGAGCCTTTTGCCTCCTGATCGAAGAGCAAGAGGCTTCCCCGCTCTGTCTGTTTCCTCATCTGTCAAATGGGGTAAACAGCGGCAGTTCCCACAGGCGGCTGCAGGGACTGCAGGGAATACAGGTAAGTCGCTATGTGCGGGTGGGCCTGGCAGGCTGGCAGTAACGCTGCTGTGGTCCTCACTACTGCTCGGTGGACTGTGTGTGCCCGAGGTCAGGGAGGTGATGGGACTTGCCCAAGGTCATACAGTGGGGCTCTGCACCTTGGAAGTTCCTGGAGGTTTGATCAGTGTCAGTCACAAGGGAGACCCCTCAGGTCCCAGAGGTCAGACCTACTCACAGGTCCTGTGGCCTGGCCCACAGGGTCTCAAGGGTGAACTATGGGCTGATCAGAGCCTGGCTTAGATTGTTTTCTGTTGTTCAGGCTCCTTGGTTTTGAACCGCCTGCAGGTCAGGTGGCTGTGTTCCTGGTCTCCCCAGGGAGAAAAGTCTGCTGCCAGAAGCCTGGAGCCTTCCCAGGAGGACTCTGACGGCTTCAGGAAGCCCTAAGGTGCAGCTGCTGGGCTCGGGATACCAGGTGGCAGGGGCGCAGAGCAGACCAGTGCAAGTCCCAGCACCGGCCGGGAGGTTGGGGCTGGTAAGATGCGCAGCCCAGGGCAGGGCCGAGGTGACACTCACTAGGCTCATGGCGCATGCAGCAGAGGATGGACCGCACCTTCACCCCGAAGTCTCGCTCTCCCTCCTGCAGGCCCTGGTTCACTAGGGACACCACCTCATCTGGGGTGATGTCCCCTCTGTGTGGAGAGAGGAGTAGGGATGGGTCTGGGACAAAGGAAGGTCTGAAGGGACAGCCCTGGGACTGGGTTAGAGGAGGGGAGAGGGATGGGGGAAGTAGGGGGAAGGGAGGCGGAATCTTCCAGGAGAAGCCCCTTCCTCACCAGCCCACTGCCTCTGAGGAAACACTGAGGGAGCCGGCCCAAGCCCAGCACACCCCCCTCCGGCTTCCTTAGAACTGCTGGGCAATTCCAGACCTGGAGGATGTGTGTGTGTGTAGGGGGGGCGGGGGGGCGGCGCTCAGACACTCACAGCCCTGCCCCCAGATGGGGAGCAGTGCTGAGCTCACCCGGTCTGAGTCCCACTTGTTCACTTGTGTCAGAGTCATGGCTAGAAGGGGCAGGGTGGTTGGGTGATAGCACTTCTAGAGCCCTGGGTCCAGGCAAGGGGCAGGAATGGGCCAGACTCGCTTCAGACGGGGTCAGAGCAGGACCTGGAAGTCACTGGATTAGTGACTGCAGGCCTGTGTCTAGGATTAGGGTGACAAGATGCCAAACGCTTTCTCCCAAAGTTAAAACATGAGCCCAGGGAGGGATGGGAACCCTGTCTCTCAGGACAGAGTTGAGCCCCTCTTTCCAAGGCCGCAGACCAGATCGGGGGGGGGGGGGGGGGAGCCGGCAAGATCAAAGTCTCGTTGGGCCAGGGCCTCCCAACAGTGTGTCCCTCGGGCCCCAGGTTGGGCCGCCCTGCCCCAGCCCCTCCGCGCGGTCACTCACTTGGGCTGGTTCCAGGGCATCGGCTCCACCTTGTAGTTGGCCAGCAGGTGTGGGCTGTAACGCACCTCCACGTACACCACGCCCTCCTTGGCCTTCATCTCAACGAACTCATAGGCGATCCTTTTGATGGCCTCCCGGCAACCCCTGGAAGGGAAGGGACAGCCCTCTCCAGTGTCCCTTCAGAGCTCCAGGAGCAAGACTGGCCCCAACCCTTGGCAGATCAGACCCACTTCTGGCCCCGATCCTTATCCTCCAGTGCCAAGCCTGGGCCTCCGCTGGAGAAGATCCTGGAAGCACGGCCAGTCCTGTCAGCTCAGCTTCCAAACTGCCAGTTCTCGCCCCCTTCACCCTGGTCTCACCCGCGTCTAACTGGGCTCCACACTCCCTGTGCCTTTCCTCACAGCAGGCAGAGCGGATCTTCTACAGATCAGAGCCCGTGCTCTGCTCTGCACCCAAGGGCTCCGTCGTGTGGGATGAAATCCCCTGCCAGCTTGTTCCCACATCTGGGCCTTCGTGTCTGCAGCTCCCAGCCTCCATGGGCTTCCACCACATTGTCCTGTGCTCGCTCCCCCTCTCCACTCAGGCCCCAGCCCCAGCCTCACCTCCTCAGAGAGCCTCCCCACCCACCTCATCTTAAAACGGCCCCCTGGCATTCTCCGCCCCTTCCCCTGAACTTTCCTTTCTCCATGGCCCTTATTACCACCGACATTACAGGTCTCCCATGGCTTGTTAGCCAGTTTCCATCTCCCCTACTAGAATGCAGTCGCCATGGGCAAGGACTCCTCCATCTGTCTTGACACTGCTATGATCCCGCAGCCGAGGACAGAGTGGCCACTCGATGTTTGCTGAGTGATGGAGGTAGGCCAGCAGGGAAGAGAAATGAGAGAGAAGGACACACACAGGCCACAAGAGCAAAAATAGACAAGTGGGACTGCATCACACTGAAAGCTGCCCGCAGAGGAAACTCAGCAGGGAAAAGAGGAGCTACGGAATGGGAGAAAGGGTGTGCCAACCAGAAACCTGCTAAGGGACTAACAGCCAAAAAACATAAATTCTGTAGCCCGGCTGGCGTGGCTCAGGGGCTGTGTGTCAGTCTATGAATCAGGAGGTCATGGGTTGATTCCCGGTCAGGGCACAAGCCCGGGTTGTGGGCTCAGTCCCCAGTGTGGGGTGTGCAGGAGGCAGCCAATCAATGATTCCCTTTCATCACTGATGTTTCTAGCTCTCTCTCCCTTTCTTCTCTGAAATCAGTAAAAGTATATTCTAAAAAAGAGAGAGAGAAAAGGACGCAGATGGACAAATCTGGAGGGAACTCTGGGATGAGGGAGATACCTGGGACTCAGACTGGAACCCTGGTTCCCACACCTACCAGCTGCGTGACCCCAGTTAGTCCCCTTCTCTGACATCCATCAAAGGGTTATTGTGAGGACAAATGAGTTAAAACTCACCTGAGCCAGTGCTTGGAACAGACAGACAAATGCTCAGTGTTTTAGCTGTTATTTCTGAATGTGGGCTCCAGAAGCAAGGCGCAAGCTAACCTGCCAGGGCCACTATGAGTGTGATCAGATGACAGGGGACCTGCCGTAGCCGGGAGTTCCCACCAGGAAGCATGAAAGGGAGCGGGTACTAGAAAGCAGACTGTGAGAGCGGCTGCTTCCAGGGGAGGGTCATGGAAGGACCTGCGCTTTGGAGAGCCAGGAGGATGGGCAGCTGCTGTGGGAAATCCCTGGGGGCGGGGCCAGCCCTGGGGAGGGGGCGGGGCCAGCCTTGGGGAGGGAGCCGGCCTCCTGGGGAGAGGCTCCTTATCTCCCCCATGGCTGGGGGCTCCTTCCACACTGCACTGAGGGCAGGGGATACAGCAAACCAGGTAGACAAAATCCCTGCCCTCACAGAGCCCACAGCCTAGCAAGAGGACAGGGAAGGAAAGAAGTAAAATATAAAATATATCCTAGGTGAGACGGTGGAAAGTTTTATGGGTACACATAAAGCAGGGGCAGGGGCAAGGACTGCAGTTTTCAGTGTTCCAGGCAGAGGGAACAGCAATGGCAGGGGACCTGAGGTCCGGGGTGAGGTCTGCCCGAGGTGCCACAGGAGCCAATGAGGCTGGAGAGGGGGGCCAAGCGGCGAGTGACAGGCACTGAGGGCTTCCGTCTGACCCCTGTGCGTGCTGCAAGGGGGTGGAAAGTCAGTCTCGAGGGCCATGGCCCCAAACAGCCAGGCAGCTCTGCAGGAGGTGCCGTCTAGCAGCCTGGGTGGGCTGGGCCTTCAGGGAGCTGGCCAGAGAGACAGGAGCTGCCTCCGTGGCACAGGGGAGGTGCCCAGGCCTGCTCATACGTTCTGGGGTGGCAGCAGGTGCCTCGGGGAGGTGGTATGTGTCTGCCCACCGGAGGCGAGGATGGGGGCAGTCAGTGCCTTCCGGGCTGAGCCCAAAGGCTTCCCGCAAGAAGTCGGCCACCTTGCCACACATCTTCCTTCCCTGCCCGTACCTGTTTGGCCACTTACCCAGCCAGTGCCTCTGTTCTGCCTCACACACCTTCGCTGATCCTCCACCGCCAGTGCTTGGCCCACCCTCCAAGCCTTTCCTCAGGCCTAGCCCTCTGGACAATATCACACCCTCTCTATCCCAAGGCCAGGTCCATACTTCCTCCTCCAGGCAGCCCTTCCTGACTGCCCCCAGCCCCCTCATCTCTCCGAGTTCCTGCAGCACCAACTGGCAAAGCTGATTCTCACCTGCCTTGAGAAGCTCTGCCTCTTGCCAGGAAGCTCAAGGTGGCACTGAGGCGAGACTCTGGGCTTTATCCCCTGCCAGCTGTGGGGTCCTGGGCAAGCCCTTCACTTCCCTGAGCCTTCTTTCCCCGTTCTGGAAACGAGTAACTTTACATAGCGGAAGACTACAGGAAGTCTAGTTCTGTGAGCTGTGCAAACATTATGTTCATCTATGGGAGAGTCTGCTAGGAGGAAAATGGAAGGCATGCAACGTGACATAAAAGCACCAGTGCCTGTCAGTGAAGGTGGCGGCTGTCTCCATCGTGAGGGGGAGTGTAAGGACAGCCCTGTGTCCAGCCCAAACTCCAACCCTGGGAGGCGGACGGGATCACAAGGCCACTGTGTGAATGAGGGGACTGAGGCCCAGAGGGAATGTGCCCAACATCATGTCATGAGACTGAGACAAGGATCTGTGTTCCTAACCCCCACACTGTGTCACTTCTCTACTGAATGTCAGTCCATCACACCCACTTTCCAGAAAGGAAAACCAAAGCCCAAAGGCATGGAGACAGTCAAGCAAGTATACACAATGGTGAACAGCAGAGCTGGGGTCTCCACCCCATGGGCTGAGGGGCAGGCCTGGGGCTGGCAGCCCGTCCTGGGCACAGGATGGACACTGACCAGGGCCCGAGGGTGGGGGACTCACGCGATGGCAGGCATGTAGTAGTCGAACTTGGCCAGGAAGCCCGGGAGGGTGAGTGGCTTGTCCATGCCAATGATGTTCTTCAGCTCCTCAACTGTGTCAGCAGGGAGAGCAACCCCCCTCTTCCTGGGGACAAAACATGAGGGTGACGGACTGCCCCTGGGGAGGACCTGACCGACTCCCCAGGGGCCACAGCTGGAAACCTGAGATCTTCTCCATCCAACTCCACCCATTGGACAGATGGGAAAACTGAGGCCCAGGGCATGCAGAACCAGGATCACAGTCCCTCCAGCACCTCCTGTCCCCAAGGCCATGATTAGCCAGATTTCAAGGGGCGGGGGCACCTGGGGTTAAAGTCTGTTTGTGTGCATGGACAAGTGCCTGGGGACAGGGAAGGTGCTAGGGCAGCAAGCCCACAACTTTGCCTCAGCCCAAGAGTGGGTACAGCCAACTGGCCCTCTGCCAACTCAGGGGTTATCAGGGGCAATAACTACAGGGCAAGCACTGGCCCTGCCTCTGCTCTCTGGCAGACCAACTTATCAGAGAGGCTTGCGGGCCCAGTGTGCTGGGAGAGGGCCGGAGGGCTGGCTGTCGACCTCAGAGGCCTTCCTCTCCCAGCCCACAGCCCCCACACAGGGGCACGGCCACCCTTCAGTAAGGCCTTGCTGAGAACAGCCTCCTTGTCTCATCAGCATCTCTGCCTCCCCAGCCAGGGTAGGGGGCGGGGAGTTCGGGCTGGGTTGGCCCCCACCTTCTGCATGCACCACCCCCTCTGCTCATCCTGGCTCTGACCCGACTCACGGGTCACCCAGGACAGCAGTTTTCCCACTTTTAAGATAAAAGAGACAACACCAGACACTCAAGAAACGCTTCTACCATGAGGGACAAAAGAGACAAAAGGAGCTCTGAGGAAACTGAAAATGCAGAAAACAAAAGAAAACTTGAACCTAAAATGCAAATCCTCAAGGAGATGAAAGGACAGAACATGGTTGGAACAGGAATGTCGCTTTTTAAGAGGGGACATTTCGAGAGTAAGAAAGAGCTGCTGGACATTGAAAAGAACATGGCGGCAGCCACTGGGATGAAACGAAGGGGATGGAAAATAAAGGTGAGAAAATTCTCCAGCGAGGAGAACAAAAAAAAAAAAAAAAGAAAGAAAAAAAAGCAAACGGTAAAGAAAATTAGATGATTGAATCAGAAGGTTCAAGCATCCAGTTACCCATAAAGCAAGATGATAGGAGGAAGAAATTGCCAAAGAAATGGAAGTTTGACTGAACATGCTTACGTCCTTTCATGGCTTCTGTTATTCAAATATCAAAATGTTTTCCTGTGGGGAGCGGCTAGTGTTTGGATGGGTTCAAGCCTTGGACTGATGAGAGGGCACAGTCCTCTCACGGCCACATGCAAGTCCCAGCTTGGAGGGCAGAGCCCTCCCTGCACAATTATAGCCAACAGCTGTCGTCGTAAGCTTGAACCTATGGTCCGAACACGTGGCCCCACATGGCTGAGTGATGTGGGCTTGATAGAGTTCAGGTGCATGTAGTTGAGTAGGATTGAAACCCATAAGACTGTTGTAAACACCTTGACCGCACCCTTACTTTGCCTCGTGGAATCTGGCTATAAAAGACACGGCTTGTAGTCCATGGCGCTGTCGCTAGCTCTCCATCAGAGAGGCCAGCGTCCCACCCAGACCCAGCTTTCTTCTCTTGTCTGTCTTTTCTCCATCCTTCACCGCCCCCTCTCAGGCTCACCGAACCTGGCTGAGCTGGCACGGCACATAAGGCACCCAACATGGAGCTGAGTATGCCATGGTCGTGCCGGCTTGCCACATTTTCCTACCTAAATACCTGTTTCTTAAGCCCCTAAATATGCCCTCCTCCCCTTCGGGTGGCTCCAGTCCCTCTGAGTGTCCAGTGGGACACTCACCCTGGTGCCCGCCACCAGCCCGCCAGCCAGCCCAGCGCGTCTCCTCACTGGCCCGCGTCCCTGCAAGACTCCGGGGCAGACGGTACCTCTGCTGCTGTCCTGACACCGAGTCCGGGGCTCCGTGCCCACTGAGCTTCTGCCCCTGTGGCCAGCCTGCCCCAAAGTCACCCTCGTGAGCCGCCCCCAGGACCCAGGCCGCCTGCGCCAGCTGTTAAACACTGTGCTTAGAATCTCTTCCTGGGAGCTGGTGGGTGAAGGCAGAGGAGGTGGCGCCGAGGCTCTGGCTCCCGTGTTGGCGGATGCAGGGGCCACATTTGCCTTGGACCCCGCCGCTTCCTGTTGGGGCGCTGCCTCCTGACCATTCTCTTCCAGCTCGCCTGTCATGGATTAATGCCGGGGGTCTTGATCCGGCATCTAGAAGGGTTCAGCAATCTGGAGAAGGGCTGTGTGTAACTTAATAAAGAGTCCAGAGACGAAATATAATTTTGAAGGGCATTTGGGGGTCAGAGGAGCGTAGCTAAAAGGAACTAATATGTTTTTCATCTCAGGACCCCTTGCTTTTTAGTAACACAATTTGTCCTAAGGCGAGGTAGAGATATAAGCTTCAAAGGGTAGGGTTTGGTACAGAGTCCATTGTCAGATTGGAAGAATTTGCCTACGGCTGTTCAGGTGTTTGGCCAGTAGGAGGCAATAACATGTAGATTAAGATGCCCTGAGCTGTCTGGCAGCAAGCAATCATCCCTTTTCAGGTTTGGGGAAATGCCCTTGCCTCTCCGGATGATTCAGCCCTTGCTGACAGGCTGGAATTGGCTTCCGGCAGTCTTCCCACCACCCTGGAGCCTGGCCACGGAGCCTGGCTCAGATGGAGGATGGACCCAGCTTTGGAGTTCGAAGCCCATGCCCCCCTGTATGTGCCACCCCACCCCAGGCAGGGGCTGTCCCCTCTGAGGACTTCCATGTCCTTGTCAGTAAAACTCAGACAGTGTTTTCTCTGCAGGTACAGAGACGCACACACGGGGCTATTTCTGTGCCCTGGGTATCACGCATGCTCTGAAGCCAGATGGCCGGGGTTTGCATCCCAGCTCTGCTGTAAAGGCTGTGTGACCTGGGGCCCGGGACCCCCCTCTCTGTGTTCACTGGTCTGGTATGTGTGAGACACCGGCTATGGAATAACCAAGGAGCAGAGGTCAGAGCTCCCTCGGCTTTGGAGCACCGTAAGGGCCATGCAGACTCGCGTGACCTGAGCAAGGGGGGGAGGGACCGTGAGGGTTTGAGCAGGAGAGCTGATCAGACCATGTTGTAAGACAGCTGTCCTGACTACGGTGCTGTGAGGACGGTGGAGGGGTGAGGCCAGAGTGGACCCCTGGAGGCCAGTCCTGAGGCCATTGCGATAGTCTAAGTGAGGGACTGGCGGCGGCTCAGACGAGGGTGGTGACAGGGAAGAGAGGACAGCCAGGTTGGGACTGGGCCTTAGAGAATGAGTGGATGGGTCTCAAAGGAGCCTGAGAAAGAGTCAGGAGATGGACTCGCAGGAAGAAGAAATGGGTGAAAACAAAATCAATGGAGGCCTCAGTCAGAGGGAGAAAGGGGCCATGGGATTTGGCCTGGGGGTAGGTCACAAGCCAGGCACTCCCCCCCTCCTCTATCTCTTCCTCTTCTCAGCCCTGGCCTACCCCCACCAGGGAGTCCTCCGGGGCTGCCCTGCTGGAGCCTGCCCAACTCCCTGGTCCCCCTGCCTGCTAACCTCGAGATCAAACTCCACCTGGCACCCCACCCCTCTCCAGGGCCAGGGCTGCTCCGAGACAGCGGGCGACATGGGAAATGGCAAGTCCAGCCAGTCACCCAACACCAGCGGCTCCCTTCCCTCCACCCCACCCTGGCATCTCGCCTCCTGGCTGCGATATTGAGTGCTCTATGACCCCTTAATGAGCACCCCGATTAGATCCCATCTTGGCCTCCGATACCCCACCCCAACGGCCTCATCAGGGCCCTGTGGCAAGGGCTGGTGCTCAACACAGTCAAAGGACAGGCAGAGATAAGCCGAGGGCTTGACCCCATTAGCAGAGCCATTGATTGTGATTAATGACACGGACCTCATTAAGGGCCTTTGCTGGAGCCCTGAGCTAAGTGTGTTCCCTGCTGTATCTGACCTACACCCCTGGTGGCAGGGTTCGGGCAGGGGCGGGGCCTGGTCACAGCTGTGCTTACTAGACAAGTTTCTTCAGCTATCATGACTCGGTTTCCTCTGTATCTGTAATATAGGGAAAATATAACCCCTTCACCAGTCGTCCTGAGGAATCTGGACGTTGTTGGCAGGCAGTAAATGAACTCACTTACACAGTTAAATATCGAGATCAATAGCCGCTCCCTAGAGCAGGATCGCTGATGTGGGGCAGACGGAGGGGAATGTCCCCGCAGAGCTGGCTGGGGAGTTAGGAGTGACGCCCCGAGAGTCAGGGCTGACTCCTGGAGCAGCAGCTCTCCTCCGTGGAGCACTGAGGGCCTGTTCTTACCCTCACCCCACATAGGCCAAGGGCACAGCGAGGAAACTGTGTCTGGACTTGATTCCAGATCCACTGGCCTTCAAAGTCCCTGTGCTCATAGGTGCTGGAACCAACAGAGGGGCCACCATGGGCCCTTGAGGTGTGGGGAGGGAGGGGCAGACCTCCCTCACTGGGGGGCGGGGGCACAGGGACCCTTCGGCCCACCAGCATCCAGGAGAGCTGCGGCAGGAGGTGGTGTTCTCACTTGGAAGATGCGGAGAGTTGGGACCAGAGAGGGAGTCACTTCACGTCTCCCTGTAGATTATTTCCATGGTGATGTAGGGAAAAGCTCTGGGGGTCAGCTAGCTGACCCCATAAACTCTTGGCTCTACCATTTACTTGCTGTGTGGCCTTGGGCAACTGCCTTTACCTCTCTGAACCTGCTCCCCCCTCGGTGAGATGGGGATAGGATAGCCTCCTCCTCTGGGTGTCACCTGCCCGGTTCTCTGCCAAGACACAGTGACTGGTTCAGCCCTGGGAACTGCTTCCGTGTGTGTGTGTGTGTGTGTGTGCGTGTGCGTCCCCGTGTGTCCATGTGAGTCCGTGTGTAAGGTGGCACATGCTCCCCTTGGCTCATCTGGAAACAGGAAGACAAAAAGCAAAGGCACTGAAGGCAGAAGACACGGGCTGCGGGTCTCCAGCTCAGAGACCCTTCTGGCTGGGGGCCGGCTGGTTCCACAGGGAGACCCTGGGATGCTCTAGAGTCCTCAGACCGGGGAGGAAGGCCTCGCTTCCGTGGACTTACCTGCCGTAGTATAAGATCGTTTCGGGCTTAATGGAGCCATCCAGGTGGACGTGCAATTCTACCTGCAAGGGGCAAAGGGAAGAGAGAGAGAACACACCCCATGAGTGCCGGGAGGACCTTCAGGGTCAGTGCTCACATTCACCACGGTGACCATCAGTCACTACTCACCGCTCCCGTACACACAGGTCACTAACGTCTACACACACCATCTTGATTACCCTCATCTGTGCGGTGGGTTTCTCGCTCTCTTTCATGCTGAGAACACGGAGGTTCAGAGAGGTTAAGTAACTTGTCCACTGCTACACAGCAAGCCAGTGATGGAAGCAGGAACCCAACCCAGGCCTGTGCGCTTACCACAGCCAATTAAGGGACAGAATCAGAATTCTAACCTGAGCCCAATCCCTACACATCAGGACAGCCATGGTCCTGTAGGAGCCACTGAGCCCAGCCACACAGGCAGGTCCTGCTCTCAGACAACACACTAAGCAAACTCCAACTTTCACACGAAGGGCTGACCACAGACTTCCTGGACTAGCGAACCACATGACGCATTTCAGAAATCTGGCTCCATGTTCAAAAGCAGGTGCTGCTCAAGCACAGCTTCTCAGGGATCGGTATGAAAGCAGCACCAGGTCTTTCCAGGACTCTAGAAGCGAACGCCAGATACTCGGCCATCTGGGTGATCGGCGCCTACACGCATGACCCCACAGGAAACGCTCTGCACACGAAGCCAGGAGTTTAAGGACAGGGGCTGGGACACAGCCTCAGGCTCGACCCCAGCTCTGCCCCTTCTTCTGCTGTGTGACTCAGACAACACTCAGTGGCTGTGACTGCCTCCCTGGCCAAGACCACTGGTAAGGACCCAAAACGACAGTGTCGGTGGGTCTGCCCGGCCCTTGGAGCAGCCCCCGCCTCTGGGTATCTCAGGGGCTGTGGGCAGCGGCACAGCAGCGCTGAGGACAGCAGGAAAGCGCCTTGGCATCTGCTGTTCCAGGCCCCGGAGGACACTGTTCCTGCGCCCGGGGATCCGAAAACTCACTGACGTCTCCACCAGGGTGGGGCCTTTTCTGGAACTTAGGGACAGGGACGTGGACAAGCAAGTGGCTGCCTTGGCTGGGGAGGCGGCGGAGGGCATCGGGAAACACACACACACACACACACACACACACACACACACACACACACACACACACACACACACGCTTCCTGCTGCAGAGGAACCCCGCCCAGGCCTAGGGGAGGCCGGGGCTCAGAGCTGCCAGGCCCGCCTTTCAGCTGGATGTCGATCATCAGAGCTCTCAGAGGTCACCCAGCAGCACGGGGCCCAGCAGCACCCACACCCCGCTCGGCGCGCACTGAGCTGCTGCTTCCCTGACTAACGGGGCTCAGTGCCCACTCAGCCAAATGCTTACCAGGTTCCCCCAAAATGCTCAGCACTGGGAGCACTGACGCCTCCAGTCCAGGGACCTGCCGACCAACTGTGTGACTTTGGACAGGGGACCCCACCTCTCTGAGCCTCCATTTTCTTATCCTTAAGCCTTCCCACGTGGTGAGGACCCAGCTAGAGAGGCAGGGTCGCCTTGTGGTTAGAGCTGGAATCCCAGCTCCTCTACTTGCTCCCTGGGTGCCCTGGGGTTCCCACCAGCCCAACAGGGAAGGTAACAGGCCTCCCTCCTGCTGGGGGAGGGTTAACCATGGTAATGCACGCAGTGCGCTTAGCACAGAGCAAACGCTAAACAATCCTCAGTACGAGGCCTTCATTCCCCAGGCGTTCGAGGCCCTGCTGGGTGTGGGAGGGGAGCGGTAAGCTAAAGGGACGCCCCTGTGACGCTTACAGCCCGGCCAGGGAAAGACACGAGGCGTCACATCGATAGAGGTCCAACCAAAGCCATGGCAACCCGTTGGGAAGCAAAAACACAGTCCCGTGAAACAGCCAACACAAGAAAGAACCTCGCCCAGCCAGCAGGCCAGCAATGGCTTCCTGGAGAAAGCAGATCTTGGGCTAAGATCTGAGGGATGAAGAACCAAGTGAGGAGGGAGATGGGAACAGCACTTCAGGCAGAGAGAACAGCCCTGACACAGGCGGTGCCGTGAGGAGAACGTGGTGTAGGGGTGCGGAGGGAGGAGGGGTTTGGGACTGGAGAGGCTGCTGGCCGCCCGGCCCCAGAAGAGCAGAAACGTGTCCCTGGGACCGAGGATGCAGGGCCCAGGCCCAGGAGGAGGGGTTCCCCATCCTGCTGGCCTCAGGAGCTCGGGGAGGCTTCGGAAACTTACAGGTGCCAGTGCCCACGCAAGTCAATTCCAGCACCACCCTTGGGGCGGGCCCGGGCACAGGGGTTTGCTTTTTTAACATAAGGCCAAGATCCAGGCGCACTGCCCTCCAGCAACCATTCCAGAGGCCGGAGGGTGCAGAATCCACACTGGAGCAGGGCGAGCAAGAAGCAGAGGTAAGGAAATGGAGACAATTTAGGGGGATGCGAACTGAAACACGAAAGACTTGCATTTCTTTTCCAGGCGGAAATGACGTGGGCATGTTTAAACGAGGATGGAGGAGACTGGAGTCGAGAGAAAAGAGTTGCACGAGGTTCGAAAAGGTAGGAGAGGTTAGAAGGCGAAACCAGAGCGCCTCCGAGTCCCGGGCAGCAGCGAGTCTGGGGACTGCCCCGGTGCCGTTGCCCCTCGCGGGTGGGTGGGCCTGCGCGGCTACTTCTGCCCACGCACTTGCATGCCGCTTGGCTCCCGCACAGCATGGACATGCCCATCTGCCCGCGTCCCTGCATGGCTGTGATGGGCATGTCGTATGAGCAAGAATGGACACCTCTGGCCCGGCCAGCGTGGCTCAGTGGTTGAGCGTCGACCTATGAACCAGGAGGTCAAGGTTGGATTCCGGGTCAGGGCACATGCCCAGGTTGCAGGCTCAGTCCCCAGGGTGGGGCATGCAGGAGGCAGCTGATCAATGATTCTCTCTCATCATTGATGTTTCTCTCTCTCCCTCTCCCGTCCTCTCTGAAATCAATAAAAATATATAATTTATTTATTTATTTATTTTTTTAATATATTTTATTGATTTTTCACAGAGAGGAAGGGAGGGAGATAGAGAGTCAGAAACATCGATGAGAGAGAAACATCGACCAGCCGCCTCCTGCACATCCCCCACCGGGGATGTGCCCGCAACCCAGGTACATGCCCTTGACCGGAATCGAACCTGGGACTCTCCAGTCCGCAGGCCGACGCTCTATCCACTGAGCCAAACCGGTTTCGGCGTATAATTTAAAAAAAAAAAAAATGGACACCTCTGCCGCCTTCCCCTGGGGATGTTGGTTCCGCGGCAGACCGGAGTCTGTCCTGCCTGAGCAGACATACATACCTTTCAGGACTCACTGCACCAACAGTGGTGGGAAATGAACCAAATGCATGAGGAAAAGAAAAACACAAGGGGGTCAGGGGAGGGTCGGGGGGGGGGGCGGTAACTCAAAGTGTTTAGAAAAGATCACTTTGTGTGGGGGGGACGGGGGTGAATAGGGGAATCAGTGGTGGGAGGGGGAGAAGGAAGGACAGAGAGCTGTTCCAGACAGAGGGAACTGCATGTGCTAAGCAATCAGGGAACGAATTGGTTCAAGTGCAGAGAATGTTGGTGGTGAGAGATGAAGCCAGAGAAAGTCAGGGGGTGGAAGGCAGGGAGACTCACTGATGTTTCAAAAGGGGGCTGATCTTTTAAAAGCGTTTTCTGCTCCTGTGTGGTGAGCAGGTTGGCGGGAGGCAGAATGGAAGACAGAGCTGGCTCAGGACCCAGATGGGAGATGAGCAGTAACCAGAATCCCTACAGCATCACACAGTGGGTGCTCGGGAAGCACGAGCTACTGGCACAGTGTGCGTGGCGGGAAGGTCGCAGAGAGCCGACAGGAGGCGAGCGTGCCCCTGGGAGAGAGCAGGCAGAGCCCAGCTGCTCACCGTGCCCACGGGTGCCACCTCCTTGTGGGGGAAGCAGAGGCAGAAGCCACCTTGTTGAGCAGCCCAAGCTCAGGCAGGCCTCCTGTTGAACTTTCTGGAAAACTGTAACTCGCCATGGAGAAGTGTCACCCACCCAGATGACAATGGGGTGCAAGCTCCGAGACTGCAATGGGGACCCTGCTCCACTGAGCCCACTCAGGGAAAAGGGGCAGCAGGGGCTTCTGGCTTATCTGCCAGGTGCTGGGCCGTCTACAGGCATGACCTTATTTCATCCTCACAACCAGGAAGGTTGGGACGTCACTCCTGTCTTACAGATGGGGAAACCGAGGCTCAAAGAAGTCTCTACGGACACAGTCAGTCAGTGATGGAATCAGGATTTGAACCCAGGTCTGAGTCTTGAGCTCCCACAGGCCTCGCCTCAGGTATAAATAATGCAGCAGTAATAGCAGCAGCTGCCTATTAGCACACCCTTCCTCTCCTTTCATCGTAGCCCCTCGGCAGGGGCGCACAGGAGCCCCATCGGGACTTGCAAAGCTCAACTTGGAGAAATGCAGTGGCCTGCCCAGGGTCACACCGATCTATGATGGCAGAGCTGGGCTGGAACCCAAGTCTCTCCAACTCTAAGCCCAAGTCCCGCCAGGGCCACACCACCTCCCTGGCACTGCGCCAGGCCTCCTGGGGAGGAACCACATGCCCCTTCCCCCGCACCTGCTCTCCGCAAGGCTGACTCACAAGCAGAACTGCAGGAAATCCTCCCAGATCTGAGCAGGACGCATACCCAGTAACCAACAAATATTTACTGTCGGGCACCTGGGGAAGCACGCCGAGCCCCCTCAGGAGATGCCAGCCACACCGGCGAGGCGCGGGGCGGTGCACTCACTTGCCCAGGCTCAGCCGAGGTGGCAGTGGCAGAGCCAGGACGAGGACCCAGGTCTTGGGTGGGTGGGCGGGGCTGTCCCTCCAGGGCCTTCTCCAATCACTGTACTTTCCCTCAGGGTTTCCCAGGCCCCCAAACACATCACTGTTTTGTTTCCCATCCCCGATTTTAAAATTCTCTTACCATGTCTCTTCCCCCCACTATTAGTTCCCTGAAAGCAGAGACTTTGTGTCCTCATGCTGTACCCTTGGTGCCAGGACAGTGCTGGCCACAGCGGACAGTGCTCAGCCGGTGCTGAACAACCAGGGATGGCTTCCTCATCTCCCTGTCCTAGGCCAGCAGAGCTGTGTCCTCTCCCTGCCTGGAGAAGGGGCTGACCTACCCCCTTGGCCTGGCAGAGAATGTAGACAGGACAGAGTAGCCAGGATTGCCTGACCAGACCCCTGAATCTGGCACTACAGTCAGAACCTGGACAAGCCACTGTGCCCACTGCAGGGCAGACATCCCTCCCTTCCTAGCCCTGCTCTTGGCAATGAGCTGGGCAGTGCCAGGGGTCAGTGCCACCACAGCCTCTCGGCTGACTTTTGGGGTAAGATGAGGAGACAGAGCAGCCCTGGGGCTGACATGGTTTTTCAGTGACACCTCCTCCAGGATGTCCTCTGTGCTCAGCCAGTCTGGGCTCCTGAAGCTCTGAGGTGCAGAGGGGAAGGGGCAGAGCAGTCCCTCGGTGCCTCCTACTAACTGGGAGCCTGAAAGAGCTTCATTGCTCCTGTGAGCTTCCCCAGATGTTTCATGGAAGGTAAGGTGTGTCTTTGGCCAGGGGGGCATCCCGTGGGGCCACAGCCTTGGAATGCAGCAGAGTCATCCTCATTTTATAGGCGAGAAAAGGGAGGCTTGGAGAGATTAGGAATTTGCCTTAGGTCACAGATTAATGAGTGCACAGCCAGGAAGTCACAGCCACCCCCCTTCACCCTGCATATCAGCGCTGAGTCAGCGCTGGTATAATCTGAACTGAATGGTTAATAATATGATGAGGATGGTGGATGATCAATTAGCAGCTAGCATGCCATGTCCCAGTCCCCAGCCCCCACCCCTGCCGCCCTGGCAGCCAGGCCTGTACTTGGTATTTTATGCAGGTGGATAAAACTGACTCCCATTTTAACATGGGTAAACTGAGGCACGAAGAAGCAACTCACTCAAACTCCCACAATGGGTAAGGGGGGGTGGGTGCGGGGGGGAACAGCACTCAGACCCAGGCAGCCTGGCCCAGCTGCTACCCAAGTTTAAACTCCTCACTGGTCTCCCTCTATGGTCAAAGGCCCCCGGAGGCCACTTCCTCTCAATCTTACAGCCCTAGGGCCTCAGAACCCTAAAGGGTAGGGGTCAGCCAGCCCCCAACACTCTGGGCACATACAGATTCGAACCTCACTTTGGCCTACTCTTCTCCCCTGTTCAAAGCCAGGCCACGGTCCTTCCCTTCCCTGCTGTGGGGACACTCCCTAGGACAGTGGTTGGCAACCCGAGGCTCGTGAGCCACATGCGGCTCTTTGGCCGCTTGAGTGTGGCTCTTCCACAAAATACCACGTGCGGGCGCGCATGTACAGTGCGATTGAAACTTCATGGCCCATGCGCAGAAGTCGGTTTTCGGCCTGGGCGAGTCTATTTTGAAGAAGTGGTGTTAGAAGAAGTCGGGGGTGTCGACGGTCGGGCGACTGGAGACGCGGCGCGGGGGAGGACAAATATCAATGGTACTTAAACTATATAGGTAGGTTAGTAACAATGTACCTACCTATATAGTTTAAGTTTAAAAAATTTGGCTCTCAAAAGAGATTTCAATCTGTACTGTTGATATTTGGCTCTGTTGACTAATGAGTTTGCTGACCACGGCCCTAGAACAAATGGGCAGGGGGACAGCTTTCTCCCAGGTCAAGCTCTGAGCTCAGCTCTGGAATCCGGAGGCTGGCGGCCTCCCCTGCCTCGCTGTGCCCGACGCCGCACTTCCCTCCCTCCTCCTGGCTTCCTCCTCGGTCAGAGACTTCGGTGAAACCCAATCTCTGCTCCCCTCCCTCGGACTGCCAGAAGCAGCAGGTCAGGCGGGCTCTTCCCAGGGGCACCTTTATTTAACAGGTGGCTTCGTAACCGAAAGCACTGAAAGCCCAGAGCAGCGCCGGCGGCGGTGGGCTCTGTGGCAGGAGACGGAGACGGGGCCGATGGAGGCTTCCCAGAGGCCACAGCGGCCCCCCTGCAGCCCCAGGAGGAACACGCTCCAACCAGCGGGTCAATTTCCCCCAAGAGCCCCATGGCCTTGGTGTTATCAGCCCATTTTAGAGAAGGAAGCTGGGGTTCAGGAAACTGTCAAGACAGGGATCCCACCCCAATCAATCTGAAGTCCAAGGTCACCCTAAGTCTAACTCCTCCCCCACAGACTGGGGATGGCAGGTGGATAAAGCGGATATCAGCATCTACCTCAGTTTCAGGTAGCACCCCCCACCCGCCCGCTTTCTGGCTGTGACTTTGGCTAGTTCCTTCCCCCCTGAGGCTCAATTTCCTCATATGTAAACGAAGAGACTAATAGGCCCTCCTGCAGGAAAGCTGTTGTGAGTACTAAATGAGTCAATACAAGCAAACATGCAAATCAGAACAGTGCCTGATTCGGAGTAAACGTTCAAATAAGAGAAAGAAAAAAAAAGTGCTTAGGTCTAGATTTAGCCCCAATCCTCCTCTTCCTCAAAAAGGAACAGTTAGAGACTGCTGTTCCAACGTGGCTGCTCGCTCAGCTCTCAGATTTTGAGTAGCCTTGGGCAAGCCGCTCACCTCTCCAGGCCTCAGCCTCGTCGTCTACAAATGGGGGTGAAACATCTGCCTCCGTGGACAGAGCAGCATAAGAGGAGGTGGCCCGGATGGACAAACTGAAGCTGAAGGAGGTGCCTAGCGGGCCAGACACCGAGGACCAGGGCGGCCTGGCCGAGGTGGCGGGCGGGGGGGGGGGGGGGGGGGGCACCTTCCTTAAGCTGGGATGCCAGAACAGAAAGCTCCGTTGCGTGTCTTGTTACAGGAATTCTCTGCTCACTCCCGGCCACTCTTCTCTCTGGCTGCCGAGGAAGGGACTAGACCTTTGCCATGGTTTACACCTTTGTTAACACCGCATCCACTGGGAGCCTTCCTCATGGGACCAATGGAGCAGCTGCAGAGAACGTTCGAGCCCTTGGGTTTGATGGTAACCATCACGGTGCCGTTGTGATTTGCGCTCACCTGTGTTCTGCCTTTTGGTGGCTTAACAAGGGGCTTGCCCTCATCTTCTGCATTTGGCAGTCTTAGGCCTGACGTGGTACCTTTCCTTCATACTATTTGCAAGGGATGCTGTGAAGTGCTTTCCTGCGTCTTGCAGAACACGCGACCAGTTTTGCAAAGCCTTGGGAGACACTGTGGGTGGGTCCCTTCCAGCCCTCTTGCTCACAGACATGTTCCTTTCCTCTGACCGCAACGGGTCCATGGGACCCAAACATTTACACAATAGGGGGGTGGTCGATATCTTCCAGAGAGGAGTCTTTCTCATCACCCCTTTCCTCCTTGGGTGTTGTTCCCCTGAATTCTCATAAATAAAAACCGCATTAAGCAGCAAAAAGAAGAAAAAGAGAATATCTGCCTTGTCAAGTTGTCCAGAGGATTCTGAGAGATAAACCATGGAAGGTACCAGAACCCACACTTAAATGACAAATGTTATTATCATTAAAATACCAGGCATGTGATCAGCAGTGCCCTCCCTGACCAAGAACTCCCGAGTGCCTGGCATTTTCCAGCCTTGCCCCGAGGAAACAGATGAGGGCCTCCCCCCACCCCCCTTTGTACCTCCTCCAACCTCCTCCAGTGTCCAACGGTGGCTCAGGAAGCATTTGTTGGAATGACATAATCAACCCAGGTGGGCAGCTGCCTAGGGTCTTGCTACCTAAAGTGTGGTCCGTGGACCATCCGGATTAGCACCACCTGGGAGCTTGTCAGAGTGTCGCATCTCGGTCCCACCCTAGACTCCTTCATGGGACTGGGAAGCCAGCCCCCTAGCTCGGCTGATAGGCTTTTCCTAACCCAGTTCATCTCTGTGCCTCTGCCTCTTCGTCTAGACCAGTGGTTCTCAACCTCGGCTGCACATTAGAATCACCTGGGAATCTTTTTAAAAGCCTGATTTCTGGGCCTCATCCTCCGGAAATTGTTTCTTTGTTATGGGGTGGGGCCACAACATTAGTAACAAAGAAACAGAATTTCCGGAGGATGAGGCCAAGAAATCAGGATTTTAAAAAGATTCCCAGGTGATTCTAATGTGCAGCCAAGGTTGAGAACCACTGGTCTATACAGTCTGAATGTTATCAAGAATCAGGTGGTGTGAGTACACTGTAACATTTGGAAAGCACTGCTCTGCTCTGGCTGCGTAAACGGGCCGGGCCCTGGGCCTCACCTGGAGGCAGGCCTGAGCAGTCAGAGAGAGGCCTGCACCTGGGCCACTGGCACCTCCACCCGCCAAAGGCTTCTGCAGAGGCTGCTCCGGAGAGCTAGTCAGGGCCACAGGACTGTGAGGCCAGCCTCTAGCTTGGCTACTGTGATTTTCCTAACCCAGTTAACCTCTGGGCCAGTTTCTCCATCTATAAAATGGGGTGACACCAGCTACGTCTCAGAGTCACTGTTAGAATCAGAGGAGTTAGTGCAGGCAACATGCTCAGAAGGGGCCTGGCACAGCAAAAAGCAACCCAATTGAAGCACCAGTTGCTAATGCTCGTAGTTAAGCACCTGCCCCACCCAGGGTGAGTGGCTGAGACTCACGCTCCTGCTTCCCCTGCCCGCTCAGGCGCGTTCCCTCCTCGCGAGTAAACGTGTATCACCGTGGGTGACCTCTGGATCCCACTACAAGCCGGTGGGGCCCACTTCCTAGGTGTGGAAACTGAGGCCCAGAGAGGGGAAATGACCTGCCAGCTTGAATCAGAGGAGAGGATTGGGCGAGGCAAAAATTAGGAATAGCAATCGTCGCTCCAACACGGGGCTGTTGAAAGTGTTGCAAGGATCAGATTGGTGCATATAGCAAGTATCTACAGCAGCGTTACCTTTCATTTATCTCCGTAACTCCCACTTCACTCCCAGCCAAGGGGCTTTGCCTACTGCCTTGGGATTCATTTCAGGTAAGGTGGTTCCCCAGCCCAAAGGTAGAGGGAATCCAAGAACAGGTAAGGCAAAACAAAACAAAACAAAAACACAGCCTTCAAAGGAAAGAACCGCTAAGGATGGGGCATGGGCATTCATACACGGTGTGAAGGAGGCATGGGGGCGGGGGGGGGGGGGGGGGAGTGCTTCCCCAGAACTTGGAACACCTGGAAGGATGTAGCTGAGCACCTGCCCTGTGGCGAGGGCAGTGGGGGTGGGGGCGCTAGGCCTTGCTTCCTCGAGTCCCCTCTTCCTTCCCCTCTCCTCTGTGCACACACGCAGGATTCTTACCCACACTTCTGTGACCTCTGCCACCATCACATACACCTGTTTCTCAGACGGGTCAGTGAAGCAGACTGAAACTCACACCTCCCCCTGCCCCGCCGTCTCAGATCCCACTAGCTGCTGATTCACTCCGCTGGGCGGCCTTTTGTGCAGCTCCCCTCCCTGGATGGATCTCAGTGCTCTGAAGCCCACCAAGTGGGCCTGGACTCCCCCTGACCCCACCATTCCCAAGACACCACAGCTGGTGGGAGGAGGGACAAGAAAGTTATCCTTTGGGGCCAGTGGCTCTCGGGTCTTACCAGAGCCCAAAGCCTAAGGCCCACCCGAATCCTCTGCCCCCACCTCTGGCATGGTCAGTTCTTCCCGTGGGTACATCCACAAGCAGACTCCTTGGAGTGGACAAAACCATCAGTGTTAGAGTATAAAGCTGTTTACACTCACAGAGCGCTCTCTATTGCACCAGACCCAACACCACCTATGGTTGTAGACAGCACGCCCCAGGCCCCATTTTACAGATGAGGTTCAGAGAGAATGCCCATTTGACAGATGGTAAAACTGAGACCCAAAGGAGGCAAGTCAGCAGCAGAAGCAGAACTCGGAGGCCAGCCAGGGATGCCTCCAGGTTCAGGACCCTCACTTCCTCATTGTCTCTCACTAATTAGCCCAGAGGCAGAGGAGGGCCTGAGCTGAGGGAAGAAAGCACCCGCAGGGGCCGCTGATCGCGCTCTGTGGACGCCCCTAAGCCCTCCAGCCAGACAAGGCGCCAGAACCCGGACCCCGAGCCCCGGCCCGCGCTCACTTTGGGCTTGTCGAAGGCGGGTGTCTGGGTCATGGTGCCAAGCGTGCGCCCCGCGCTGCTCCTTCCTCCGCTGGATCCCCGCGGTCGAGGGCTGAATAGGAGGCCGGTTCGTGTCCCCCGGGGCCCCCGCAGCAAGCGCGGCCCGCCTCGCCCTTCTTAACGGAGCCGGATCCGCCCCGCCCCCACCCCGCCCCGGCCCCGCCCCCGGCCCGCTCCAGGCCCCGCCCCGCCTCGCTGTCCCCAGCTGTGCTTTTCCTGGAATTCAGGCCCAGCAATGGGAACAAACACAGGGCCCCTCAGCGCCTTGCCCCCCGCCCCCCCACCAAACACTGGCCCTGGGACTTGGGGTTGCAGCCACCTGTGGGCTCAGGCTCCAGCCTCCAGGCCCGGCTCTGCTGCCTGGGTACAGAGTGCCAGGCCGAGCTGGCATCTGGGAGCCCGTGAGCATCACAAACCTTGTGGGGCTTGCCCTCTACCCGGGCTAGACCCACGCTCATCACGAAATCACACAAGTGTGTAATTAGGGAGCTGTAATGGGGACCACCCGTGGCCTGCAGGTCGGGGGAGGCTTGTCTGAGGACCTGAAGGAGGGTGCCAGGTGAAGGGAGCTGGAGTGGAAGAGGGAAGCGGAGAATGTTCACACTGTGCCCCGCTGTAATGACAAAAACATGGGAACACCCCAAAGGCCCGTCCACAGCGAGGGGGCAAACAACCTCTGGAATACTCACGCCACGGAATAGAACGCAGCAGTGAAATGGAATGAACTTCAGTAGCAAACAGCACCACCTCGATCTAAGGAACAGTGTGGAGTGAAAAAGTCGCACAAAACTACATGGGCCATGATGTAACTCATAGAATGTATAATAAAAGCAAAACCAAAAATATGCATGTTTAGACACATGTATTTGGGAGAAAATGGTTTAAATCAAGGGAAAGAGAAACTGAAGAAGAGTGGTTATCACAACTCAGGAGAGGGGAGGAGCATACAGGTACCTTCAGGTTACTGGTCATGTTCCAGTGCTTGGGTGGGATGGTGGTTTCATTTCATTTCATTATCTATACTAATAAAAGGGTAATATGCTGATTAGACCAGGAGACCTTCCGGACATCCTTCCAGACAAAGCCATGGTGACGGGGCCGAGGCAGAGGTGGTTAGGGGTGATCAGGCCAGGAGGGGAGGGCAGTTGGGGGTGAGCAGGCTGGGAGGGGGGCTCTTGGGGGAGAACAGGCCAGCAGTGGGGGGCAGTTGGGGGCAAGCAGGCCGGCAGGCAGGTGAGTGGTTAGGAGCCAGCGGTCCCGGATTGCGAGAGGGATGTCCCACTGCCGGTTTAGGCGTGATCCCCCGACATCCCCCAAGGGGTCCCAGATTGGAGAGAGTGCAGGCCAGGCTGAGGGACACCCCACCCCCGTGCACAAAATTTGTACACAGGACCACTAGTATTATAAATAAACTGATAACAAATAAGGAGAAAAGAGAGGGCAGGAGAGTGGAGGACAAGCGGCTAGAAAATCCGGTGAGAACTAGGTCACTATGGGACAGAGTGAGGCCTTTCCCCAGAGCCTGCTGTGGAGGGTTTTAAATGGAGGCAAGACAGGATCAAACTTTTATTTGGAAACAATAGTCTCAAAGTGTGGCCGGGAATCATCAGATCGATGTCACCAGGGAGCCGACTACACCTGCTGACTCTCAGACCCTCCCCACACCTACTGAGCTGGAATCGATCTTTTAACACGATTCCCAAGTGGCTGGGCTGCTGTGGCACCGGAAAGGGACCGCCAGAGTGGGTCTGCCTCGGGCACGTGTGTGTTGTGGGCTTCATGTGGGAAACACTTCACAACACGAGTCCAGGGGATTTTGAGGAGACAGTGAAAGAAAGGAAGGGCTTGGGGTAGAAGCAGCAGCAGGAGAGAACCTAGGGGTGCTCTGCGTTGGCCTAGAAACATTCTAGGGAAGAAGTGAGTCCAGGCGGGCTGCTCTGGCTCATTGAAAAGTCAGAGAGAAGGGGCCTAGGAGACTGGCTCAGGGGTGAGCCCGGGACGAGCTGCCGCTGCCCTTTGCTCCCCTGGTTGTGAGACCCTCAGAGTTGAGGAGAGAACAGGAAAGATGCATGCCTGAAATGAAGAAAGGCATGGTGTGCTCCAGAGAGAGCCCTCGCTGGGTCTTTGTCTTGAGGGGTCTTATCTGTTTTCTAAAGACGAGGATTTTAGGGGAGCCCTTAGGGGAGGATCTAATAGAATATTCATCAGCTTTATGCCCATGTGCCAAATGAGATTTATTCCCTTAACTTCATCTGTCCGTGGGTGTGGTTGGCACGAATGGCGTTTATTGGATTTCTGTTATCTGTCTCCCTGAGCAGGCTGATTTGAGCTACTTAGCCTCTGGTTGGGGAGAAGGGTAAACCATTTACTATTGTGTCCTTGGTTGGGGAAGATAGGCCTTCACTGGGCGGCTGTACACCGATTCTTCCGGCACACTGCGGAAACCAGAGTGTTTTGCTAAGACCCCTCCTGGCTCTCTGTGCTACTCAGGATAAACCATACAGCTCTACTCACTGAGACATGCCTGGAGCAGGTACTCTGAGAAGCCCTTTAATAAGCACCATTTCATTTCATCTTTACCGCAATATCGTGAGTAGGAAAGTAGGAAGTGATCTCATTTTACAGGCGAGAACACTAAAGCTCCGAGAAAAGAGCAGTCTGCTTGGTACCTGTGCTGCAAGTGGCAGCTGGGATTTGCATTTGAACCTGACTCTAGAACAGGGTGGGCAACCCCTGGCACGCCAGTAACTTTTGCTGGCACGTGAAACCCTCTCTTATAATCTTCCATTTACAATTTTTTTTCTTAATATGGACTTTTTTATTTTTCAGATAAATTCAGTGTAGGTGCATCTTAGGTAAATAAATAATTTTACATAACAAGTTATCTTAAAGACCATAGACATGGATTGACGAGAGAGGGGAAGAGCGATTTATATGCCTCTGCCTTAACTCTCCCTGCCTTCCTAGACTCTCCCATGCTCCCAGAGAGAATGTTCGAGAGGCCCCAGTGGAAGCGGCTGTACACCGATTCTTCCGGCACACTGTGGAAACCAGAGTGTTTTGCTAAGACCTCACACCCTGGCCAACCTGGATGACGTGCTGGTCCATTCAAGGTGACACACGTTCTTTGCTTTTCCTTCCACTGTGACAGGGAGTCTAATCTTCCTCCTGTTCTACCTGGGCTGGAAGAGCAACTTGTTTGCCTGATAGACTGCGGTGAACCTGACATTTCTGGACTTTGAGTCTAGGTCATAAGAAGCCTTGCCGCTTCCACATGCAGTCCACATGCAGTCCCTCCCTGGGCTGCCCAGCTGAGCGCGGCCCTCCCGCCGCCCCCACCAAGAGACCAGACACGTTAGCGAAGGCATGTTGGACCAGAACAGCAGCCGCCTGACCCCACCCCACATTCCTGACCTGCAGATATAATGTAATAGAACGGCTGTTAATTGAAGTCATTAAGTCTTGGGATAGGCGTTAAGCAGCAGTAGATAATAGGAGTGCTGGTTAATATCCCCCATCCCCGCCCCAATCACAGTGGAACCTCATTACTCCAACGTCTCCCACCTTGAACACTTCGCTTCTCAACCTGACAACCCTTTCATGCTGATGCCGTATGATCAGTCACCCATCTCTCAGGTGACAAACAAAGGAGAGAACCGCGAGTATGACTCAGTTTACCACTGCTAAAATCTCAGGATATGTGCTGTGAATATTTTTGTGTTTTTTTGCTTTTGCTGCTGCTTATAATTATTGTTAAGTTTTCACTTTGTACTGAACATTTCCTTTCCTTTTTGTTAAATTTTCATTTCATGTCCTTTTTGTTTTTACGTGTTTATTTATAGATTAAACAGTACAATAGGCATGTACTGTATATGTGAAAGGTTGAAACAGGGGGCCTGGAATGGAACGGATTCATTCGATTTACATTATTTTAATGGGAAAAAATTATTCAGTTTTCGAACAGAATTAAGTTCGAGAAATGGGGTTCTACTGTACTTTTGTTAAAATTGCCTGAAACTTCTGTGGGTACAGAAACCACAAGCTGATAAGCAGAGAAAAGGAAAGAGGACGAAGCAACTGAAAGCTTGGGGCCAGTTCCCCTCCCGCCATGGGCCTCTTCCCCAAACAGCTTCCCCCGGAGGCTGCTGGGAAGTTTGCTGCCTGGGTGTGCGTGGCAGTGACTCCTACCCCACATGCCTGGGCTGGCCTTCACAGACCCTCAGCTGCAAGCACTTGAACACATAAAGAAACAAGATGAAGACACAGAAAACCCCAGATCCCAGATGGGCAATGATGTGGGGAGACACCCTGCAAGGGGGACCTCAGTAGCCTGCAGGGGGGTATTCCAGGGCCTTCCCTGGGCTTGGGCAGTTGCCGGCTCTGTCAGCACTGGGCCTTGTGGGAAGCACTTGGGGTCATATACCTGCCAGCCCAGGCCAGAGACTTGGCTCTTCTGGTTGGCACCCTGCGTGTAGCCCATCTGCAGAGACAGGAGGAGTTGTCACAGTTGTTGGTCCCCAGCTTGGCGTCACAAATGTGTCCCTGGGTCCTGGGAGCCATCGTGCCCACCTGCTGGCACACTTGTTGGTGCCCATTTGCAGGCTGAGGATGCATGGCCCATGGGTGGCAGGCTATGGTTCTTGGGTCACGCAGATGTCTTCTCGTGCCATATGCTGTCTTCCTGACCGGCTGGCACACTTTTGGTGCCCATCTGGAGCCCAGTGACGCACTGGCCCGCCTTCATGGTGGCGTCATCGGAGTTCCATCGCTGCTTCTCCGAGTACTTGATGCCGATGTCCACGCCACTCTGCAGAGCCAGACGAGACACCTGCACCTGCTGCACGTTTCCACTCTCAAGGTCCTGAGCTTGAACAGGTCCACGGAGTTCGTGCCGGAGCTGACCGTGGTCTAGATGAAGTTGGAGAGGTTTACTAGCTGGTGCCAGGTTGCATGGAGCGGTTGATCGAGGGGGCTGAGCTGGGCGGGAGCTTACTCACGAGTGTGCATAGGATCATTCCATCCTTCAGACCCTTCCAGAAGTTGGGACCCACAGACAGGCCCGTGAGTCCCTCCATCCAGCTGCAGAGCTCCGCCTCCTCCTGCGGGTCCTGTTTGGACAGGAGCC